CGGCCGCCGAGTTGGCGAAGAGCGCCGCGCACAGCGGTGCACCGAACAGGGCCTGCATGACTTTCAACTGCCCGCCAGCCGTAGGGTCTGGGGCTGTCATTGGGGGCGCTGCAGCTGCAGGCGAGGTCTTCGCCGCGTAACGCCTGCTCGACTTCCTCGCGTAGTCTGGCGCGTCCGTCTGGATCTCCTCCCAGGCGGGCCCATCGTCCTTGTAAGCTGATTTCCACCACGGCTCAGCCGACATGTCCTCGATGCGGTCGAAGTTCCACACCGTGGCGTACCCAAGCGTGGACCAACCCTTGCACGTGGTGGCCTTGGAGATGGCACCCTTCACCTCTCCGAGGGGCCTGAGCCAATCGCCCCCATGCCCCTTGCCGCTGCCCCGCGCCACGAGCGCGGCCATCTTGCCCTTGGAGCTCTCGGAGAGCGTGTGGGCGCCGATCAGCTTGCACCGAGCGGCGACCAGGCGTATGCACGCCTTCTCACTCAGGTCGCCGCTCTTCAGCGATTTGATCTCGCTCGCCGTGAAGACCCTCGATGCAATGCTAATATCTTGCCATTGCTTGGATCCGCCTGGCATTGACAGCATGCCTGTCTTGGTCCCGACGCTCTGGCACAAGCGTGCGATGTTCTCTTGAGTCCAAGTGTCCAGCGAGTGCTCCCTGATTGTTTTCACCAAGGCTGTCGCGTCGTCAGTACTGATCTGTGACAGGTTGTTGATCTTCATGAGGAGGCTGTCGTACTGGTGCTGGGCCACGGCTGATGGGCACAGGCCACATGCGATTTGTGTCGATACCCACTCTGACATGTGCTGCAGTTCCGCGCGGAGGTTCGGAACCGTCGTCATATGACGACAGTTCCGAACCTTCGCGCCTCGCGCCTCGCGATAGGTCGCGCCTCGCGAAAGATCGCGCCTCGCGATAGATCGCGATCGATCGCGATCGCGCCCAAATGGCTATGCGACGCGGGCCTGTGTGGTCTATATTCGAAACGAGAACCCGACACCAACTGATGCCAACTTGCAATGCCCCACGCATCGAAGATTGGTGTCGGATGGCAGTGCGAGTCTACACCTGCAACGGGTTGCATGCATCTTGGCATACATAGAACCGACGCGTATATGGC